GACGGAAAAATGCAAAAACCATGGGGAGTTTGACGGAAAAAATGCAACAAGGTTTAAATATACATATGATAGAGAGGATTTAGGGTTTAGAGTTTAGGGTTTAGGGTTTAGGGTTTAGGGTTTAGGGTGTTTCCAGAGTGAGTAGTGGGCTCAGGACTGGTTTGCCCACCCCTACCGCCCGGAGTTCAAGATTATACAGATATGGTTTCTTACTACATTCTCGGTTTTATGACATGCATGCTCTGACGTTTGGGGCTGCTCACGGCGTCTGAGGCTGTGCGAGACGGGTTCACGAGCAGAAGTTGGTCGCCTTCGCCTCCAAGGCTGAGATGTTAAGTTACTTAGAATCCTGTCGCAGGGCCTTGTGTCGTTATAACGGGGCAGCCTCGCGGAGCGAAGAGTCTGTGGAAAAGCCTACGTCAGCCAGCAGTACCATGAGGTTTAGCGTGCAACATCCAGTAAGCGAAGTCGGCAAGAGTCTAGGGCGGCTGTAGGTCATGAAATATCAACAGAAAGCATGTAAACTTGAGAGTCTGTGAAACTGTATCATAAGGAACATACAGGCACCCACTAGACAAGTTTTTTTTCGCTTTTGGAGAGGGTTGGAAGAGAGGGGGGGGGGGGGCGGGGCGGCCACGAAAAGGGCAGGAAGTAAACCGCATGGACATAACAAATTCTTATCCAGCCGATGTGCAGGAACGCCGGCCTAGCTAGCCGCGATCGCACCTGGCGGCGCGCGCAAACAGCGCCGTGCATGCATCTTTTTGTGTGCATCTGTTGTTGCGTGTGAGGACAGAGCTCTGTGCAACCGGCATCACAGTTCAGGCGCCGGATAGCATGTTCGCTGCAGCACTGCAGCACAAGAGCAAGAAGCGTGCTAGAGGACAGTCACACCGCTTCTGCCATGGCCCCCAGAGCCTTCAAGCGCTTGACGCCGACCGGCGATGTTTGCGTGAATCTGGCGCCGAAGGCCTTCAAGCGTCTACGGCGGGCAAGCGATGCCATCGAGCTGGAGACAGACGCAGGCGACGACACACTCGCAAGGGAGCCAGAGACCCGGGAAGAAGCCAACGACGCGAGCAGCAAGGTTCTGCAGAAGAAGCCTTCCACGATGAGGACGCGAAGGAAGCGGGCGCGGCGGAAGCCGGCGGGCGTTCGCGGCGACTCCAACTTCTGCCAGGGCCGAGCCGGTATTCATTGTTGCTTTTCTGCAAGCGTGCCGGGACAGAGAGCGCGCACAAAAGCCGAAGCTTGCTGCGTCTTCTGCAAGGCGGCGACGATGGCACGGGCTTGCAGCAGCGCTCGAGGACGGGGTCGCGTGGTGGAATCGCTTCGGTACTTCCGCAGCTTCTACGAGGACAACAGCCGTGTCTACAACGCCGCTATCCTGCGTGTGCCGGAGGAGCATCGGGACGACATGCATGCGAAGGCCGTCGTGAAGCCCACGCGCAGACCGAGAACNNCATGCATGCGAAGGCCATCGCGAAGCCGACGCACAGACCGCGAAGGACTGCATCGAGGAGCGTCGATTGGGAGTCGCTGTTGAACCGGAGACGACGAGCACAGGGCCCTCTGACCTCCGCCAAAACGAAGAAATATCAGCGCCAAGTGAAGGCGGACCGAGCCAAAGTGCAGCAGAAGTTTTTCGCGAGGCACCGGCAAGCGCCTCCAGAGCCAAGAGACATCGCGGAGAACGACGCCGGGTTGCCTGCGCCCGTCCTGACGGAGCGGGCAAGCATGGTGGAGAGCTGGTGCAAGGAAGGGTCCTGGGCCATGTGTCAGGACTGCGGGTCCATGAACCCTCGCAGGTTGGAGCCCATAGACTGCAGGAGAGTGGCGCAAGCTACCGTGACGAAGCGAGCCTGCAAGAACTGTTGCGACGGCAAAATCAAGATCCCCGCCTACGACGACATCCCGGAGCCCTTGCGAGACTTGCCGGACAGTGTCATAGACGCTCTACGTCCCCTGGACATAGACGTAGGCCCGTACCGGCGGGCGCAGTACGGGTATCGCATGCACACCTCCATGATCCGCTTCGCCTGGCGCGAGAAGAACGTCAAGAGCAGCCTGCGGGGACTGCCCGACGAGGCGCAAGCCTCGGCCAGACGTGCCTACAAGTACTTGATGTCGTGCAAGGAGTCGGCCTACAAAGACTTCGTAACGAGACACAACAAGTTCTTGGACAAGCACCCGGACGGCGCAGACGAGAAAACTCGCAAGAGGCCTCTGCAGTTTCTGGAAACGCGCGGTCTGGAGAATTGTCTCTGGCCGCATCTATACTGGCGGGAAGACATGTGCGAGACCTTCGTTCGGGCCACAGACCCGAGACGGGTTGCTCGCGGGCGAGGCGCGGGCAGGGACGGAGATGCTGCCGAGCGCGAGTCAAAGTCCTTTGTGGAGCAGATGCAGGATGTCGACAATGACCAGTCCGATGATGATGAGGATACGACTGGTAGGCATTCCATCAAAAGATCCTTCATGCGGAAAGTGCTGGGACCGCTGGTGGGGTATTCGGAATGCTGGGACCTGCTGCAGTTCATCTACGATTTAGCCCTCTGGTCCCGTATCGGTGGGGGCAAGAATGCTTGCAAGGGGTTGGCTTTACGATTGGTCCTCAAGGGCGAGACGTTTTCGCCTCTGTACTTCAGGACGAGACATCAAGCCCTCCTGGATTTACAGCGACAATGCGGCCACCCGCAGCTCTTCAAGACGATGGCGCCTTGGGAACCCAGCTTCCCGTATCACACTTGGATTCTGGACGAGATGCGCAAGTGCGGTCGGAGGCGAGGCGGCTCCAGTGCCCAAGGCGCAATGGAACAGGAGCTGGCCGGCTTGGAGACACTGCACCATGCGCACGTCTTCACCGAGCTGGAGCGAGGCTTGTACACTGGCTTCAACAAGCGCCACGACTCGGATGGCAAGGAGGCGTGGCGCGAGCACATCCTCGGCCCCGAGACGACCGCGGAGGACGAGCCCCACGAGGAAACCTCGGCTGGCTTCTTCTTCCGCCTGGAGTATCAGGATGGTAAACGAAAGAAGGCGACTCAGGCCTACCACGGCAGCGGTCGCGTGCATTGCCACAGTCTGAACTACTTGGAGAATCCCGAGCGCGTCGGCCTGCACCGCAAGATCTCGGCCACGGTGCCCGCCGACGACCAAGTGGCTCTGAAGGCCTATATGTTGGGCCGACCGCACACCGCGGGAGCCGAGACAGGCTGGCCCGTCTTCGAAGGCGAGAGCGCCTGGGACGATGCCAACCAGCAACTCCTCTTGCATCACACACAAGAAGACAGAGATGCCGGGCATAGGGCATACTTCCCGGAAACGCTGGAGATCGCCAAGTGCCACCAGGACGCAGTGGTTGCCAACGACAGGGGACCGCTGCTGAAGTACTGCGCTACCTACACTCCTAAGTTCAGCGACGCCTTCCAGAAGGAGTGGTTGGTGGACGAGGCGTCTGCCTTCTCCGTGGCCAGGCGCGTCCTCTTCGACTACAAGCCCTGCGAGCCGGAGATGTGGCTCTACCTGGCGGCCAAAACCTTTCCTCCGTGCCGCCACAGCGGGACCATGGTGGAGCTGCGCGCCCCTTGGCCGGGCATGCCGGCGAACCGCATACCCAAGATCGCGGCACACTACATGTCTTCGACGTGGCGGGGCGCCAAGATGACCCTCCTGGAGTTTGCTCGCAAATCCAATGAAGACGGCCAGGTCGCCTATTGGATCAAGCAGCGGCACAAGCGGGAGGCTGCCCGATCGTCTCTGGAGGCGTATGCTAACGAGATCCGCATGAAAGGCGAGAAGCTCGTGGCGGTCGACATGGTGAGCATTATGAACGAGCGCTACTTCCTTCAGTGGCTTGCTTTGCACGTGCCTTTTCGGAGTCTGACAGACTTGGAAAGCCCCGAGATCGCGGAGAAGGTGCCGGCGCAATACGCACCACTGGCACACGCCCTGAGGCTGAGGCCAGACTTTTGGAACGACGAGGATGAAATCACGAAGGCTCTCGAGCTGGAGGCTGCGGGCAAGACGAAGGTGAAGACGTTCCTCGCCAAGATCAAGGCAGAGAAATTCTTGATAGGCAAATATCTTGCAGGCGAGCTCGGCCGGGACGACGACCCAGGTAGACGATCTCTCCTGAGGAGCGCCGGATTCGGCGGACAAAGCTCCGATGAGGACGACGAGCTGTCGAAGCTGACACTGAACGCTCAGCAAAAGTTCTTCGAGGAAACCATCATGACTAGAGTCGACTTCGTCCAGAAGGCCAGGCAAGTCGACGACGAGGACGAGTTGGAGGACCTGCTCACGGAGGCTCGGAAGAACGCCAGACCCGTTGCAGGCCTGGGACCTCCCGGCACTGGCAAGACCACAGTGGTGGACAGATGCGCCAGAAAGGTCGTCAGACGTGGAGGCCACGTCCTATACGCGCTGCCAACGGCTCAGCAAGCCTCCAGAGTCCGAGCTCGTCATCCCAGCTTGGACGTCGACACTTGTGCAGCCGCTTTCTACTTGTACAAGAAAGACATCACGGAGCACCTCGACAGTCTTAATCAGTATGATCTCATAGTGATCGATGAGGTGTCCCAGCTGAGCTCGGAGGACTTCGAGCGGATCGTGCTCATGTGGGAGGCCGCCGAGAAGATGCCTGCATTGATTCTAACGGGCGATTTCTGGCAGCTCCCCGGAGTGAGCGGAACGCAGGCGGACGAAAGCATCAGGTGGAAGCAGGTCTTCGTGATCGACCTTCACGAGATGTGGCGGTGCAAAGATCCCGTCCTGCGCAAGAAGCTGCTGCAGCTCCGCGTGTCCATGCCCGACAGGAGGCAGGTTCAGGAGATCTGCAAGGGCCACAAAGCCTGGACTCATCTGGGCGACCCGACACTGGACGAAGTCAAGAACGTCCTAGCCAAGCACGATTGCGTCAACATGGCGGCCTGCACAAGGAAGGCGGCCGCGACCCTGAACGAGCTCAGCGTCGAGGTCCTGTTCGGGCACGAGCGAAAGCCGCTCTGCTCGCTGGCGGCGGACTGGGAAAGCAATCCAGAGAACTACGATGCGGAGGGCGCTCTGAAGAGTGGCAAGCTGGAGCCGCTGACGATGAAGATCTACGCCGGGATGCGCTTGTTCCTGACGCGGAACGTGAACAAGCGGGGCGATTTCGTGAACGGCATGCAGGCCGTCGTCCAGAGATACGATCGGGACTCCGGCTGCCTGCATGTCCTGACCGCGACACAGCGGCAGCTGGCGGTGTTTCCCTTCACGGAAGACCTGGCAGGCGGCAGGCGCCTGACGTTCTGGCCGGTGAGGCCAGGCTACGCGAGCACCATNNCACAAGCTACAGGGGGCCGAGCTGGACAATATCTGCGTCTGGTTGAACGTAAAGCATTTCCGCGCCGGCGCATATGTCGCCATGAGTAGAGTCCAGTACGACAACCAGTATGTTCTGGGTGGCTATCTCGAGCGGGAGCATTTCGTCCCGGCACGCTGAGATAGAGGCTGTTGTGCCACAAGTGCTACGTTGTGCGACGCAGCGCAGCAGAGCTGGGCTTTCGTCGCACCCACGACTGCAGAGAACTGCCAGCATG